AAAAAAAAAAAAAAAAAAGGCAATCTACTATGTGAAGACAAAAGAAAGGCCAACAGTGACTAAGGCCTCTTCTCTTTATGCCCCCCAACCGCTTCTCCCTGAGACTTTATGAGTGCCTCCAGATCACATTACCATGGTTCTTCTCATTCAATAAATTTTTTGTTGCTGGTAAAAACATCTCCATAAGTTCAGGAACCTTCCTGATGACATGAACAGCACACAGTGCTGCCTGTAAAATAAATAAATAAATAAATAAAAGAACAAACCATTTATTTTAATTAAGCCAGGGCAATTCATCTCATAAAAAAGAAAGCTCATCAACGAGTCACCTAACAGAAAAACCAAGAAGAAAGAAGCTGGCTATCAGATTTATTAACTGGTTAGGACTTTCTAGCTTATACTGTCACATTAATTAGCTTGCCTGTCCCTTCATATATTTATTACTAAACAAGTAGACAAAACCTTTCTATGCTAGATCATGGTTGATACAAATTTATCAAACAAGTTAAACAACTTATATGGAGCTTGTAGAAAGTAAAAAATGGGCAAGATGATCAATTTGTGATCGTCATTCCACTAAGTAAGATGACTAAATGACATAGAACAACAAGCAATTGAAAGATTTATACTACAATTGCTACAAATCTGTCATGTTTAATAGAATCTATTCAATGCCCAATTCTCTTTGCTAACATCAAGAAAATCTTTTGAAAGATACTTAACTAGTCTCTACTCAAGAAAAGATGGTCTTAGCTTGTTCACCAGAAAGAGGGATACATTCAAAAATTGATTATAGTTACCCCTTCCCCGCCAAAGAAGTAACCATAACAACTATTTGTTGGCATCAAAAAGGATAAAAAATTAGCTACATCAACAAGAAAAGATTCCTGATTCCTCCCATATTCCTTTTCATCTTGGGTTTGAAAATATTTTTTTTTCTCTAATCTGCAGGAATGTTTTATTTAATCAAATAACGCGCTTCTGAACAAGAGCAGTCTACATTCTTTAAGAGAAAGAACTAACAGTTAAAGCAAGAATTTAATTTTGTTTGCAGCTATCATTAACACTGTACGATCCTGGGAAACTGCTTAGTCCTTTTAACACCTCTATCTCACACCATTAATACAGAAGGCATAATAAATGCCAAGCACGTGTTCATTCTTGACTTAAATTTTATACCCTATTTAAGAATATTTTAGGGTTTAAGCACCATAAACTAATTCAATAAAATGTTTAGATCAACAAAAGCAAGTAAGAAAATACTTTTCCATTACTCTTCCAGTAAGACATACCAGTTTTAGAAAGTAGTTTCTATATCATTCCTTAGTGATTATCTAAGTCCCAATGGAACTGCCCTTCCAGAGACACAAAAGCATTAATTGTAAGGATAAAAGTAAATTCTTAAAAATCTGCTTTTATCACTTTGTGCAAATACTGCATAGTATCAGATAATTTAGGATGTAATAGGTTAAGGATGTCCAGTAGCATTTGTTTTTTACAAGTCATTTCCTCAAAATAAGAGAAATTAAGAGAAGAAATAAAGTGTTTATAATTACGATCAATTGCAGAGCAATTAGCAACAAAGAAAAAAAATCTTTTCCAAAATTAGTCACTATAAAAATAGACTTAGATTCATAAACACTTGCTTCTCATAAAATCATTTAAAATACATTTACTGAACAAAGAAGCTTTCAAATATAAATAATTTGCCTTCTCATCTCTATAATGCTCCCTAATCCAAACATAGACATTTGATTCCATTCAAAGTTACCTTTTTTCTCAAGTAAGAGTTGGAGGTTTTCAAGAGTTTCTCTACCTCTCCTGCAAGGTCTCTGCACATCTCCGAGGAGCCCATGCAGCCAAGGGTACAGAGTGCTAGCCCCTGTACAAACTGCGTGCTATGATTAAGATCACTGCAAAAAAAAAAAAAAAAAAAAAGGGAGGAGGAAGAAATGAGCGCACTCTGCCTGGTTCTCCCCAGGAAGAAGCTTCAAGTTCTAGTCAGTTAGCTCAGAGGAACTCCAGATACTCCAGTAGTGGAGATAATTAACAGGATTACTCTTGCAGAAAATATGTATTCTAACTTCATTACAAATTACCAACACAGTGAGCTAACTGACAGTCCCTCCTACAGGCATAAAACACAGTAACCCAGTGTTTCCAAATACTAAAGCCACAGAAAATGGACATGTTATCTGCTGGATGCTAAAGACAACCCATTTTATAAAACTGAGCAAATCAGTGATAGTAAAAATGGACCATAATAGAAATACGGAGCAAAACTATCCTTAGATTTTAAGTATATGCTTTACTACTAACTACAAAAAAGTAAGATACAATTTAATCAAAACCCTTTAAAAAAATTTTAAAAATCAGAAAACAATTTCTAATACATTTCAGATGACTGAGACAACAGAAATTTTTTATACTCCGAAGCTTTGATTTTATGGTATAGTATTGACCTTGATGTTACATTAAGTAATGTTTATACTTTTATTTTACTTACTCAAATAAAGGAAAACCACTATTAACTATTCATTACTACCATAAAAAATGAACTAATAAAATCACCTTTAACAAACTACACTACATATTTGCAATGAGTCCCAAGATATAATGGAACATAGATACAAAATCCTATTTCGAAAGGAGATCTGGTAGTGTAGTGGTTAAAGCAGCATTTGGCTGCTAACCAAAAGGTTGCCAGTTTGAACCCACCAGGTGCTCTGTGGGAGAAAGATAAAGTAGTCTACTTCTGTAAAAATGTGCAGCCTTGGAAACTCTATGGGACAATTCTTTTGGATGAATACCTAGGAGTGGAATTGCTGGGCCATATGGTAATTCAGTGTCTAGATTTTTGAGAAACTGCCAAACTCTTTTCCTCAAGCCTCATTTTACCAGTAATTTTTACCTTAAATTTTTCAAACTGGTCACAAGTAGCAAAACTCACTAATTTACACTTTAACTTCTTTTCCTTCATTCTACAGGAGGAATAAATTATGTATTAATTCATGTAAGAAACTACTGATGAACCTATTACATGTTAGCTTCAATGACATTTTTTATGGGAAGGGAAAAAAGAAACACAATTTTCCAAAATAGAAGAAGTTTTGTCTGTCCTAAGACTTGTAACTGACTCTATGGCAATGAGGTGTGTTTTGTTTTGTTTAAAAAAAGACATTTATCAACTGTACTGACATCTGCATTAACAGTGCAAAAGCAATGATGGGAAAACTGTTGGCTCATTAGCATGCATCAAGGCAGTGGCATCACAGTCTCCCAGTAGTCACTGTAGTCACTGCCACACAGTCAGACTGAAAAGAAAGAAAGAAAAGGCCATTTAAGATTGCCTTTTATGGACCAGTAAAAACTGTAAGTTTTATCAAATCTCAACTCTTGACCACATCTTCCTATATTATTCCATGTGACAAAGTGGGAAGTCCACTAACACACTGCTGCCGCATACTGTCATCTCAGGGAAAAGCATTTGTGCAACTGTTTTATCTGCAAGCTGAACAATAATGGAACATCATTTCTATTTGAAAAGTAACTGACAATTATGGTTAAGATTCGGGTATCTGAAGGCATTTTCAGGAAAATGAGCGAAGTGAGTCTGTCACTTCAAAAATAACAGCCAACAATATTTGTTACCAATGATACAATCTAAGGTTGCGAGTGATAATCAGATTTTGGGAAAACTGGTACTGCGATAATTAGCTTGACAGTTTACCAATACAGGTTTCCCCCACCATCTGAAAGTGGAACATTCCTATGAAACCTTTTATAAGCAAAAATGGTTTAAAGTGAAGATGCAATTATCATTCATTTATATGGGAAAATTTTTTGAGCATTCCCAGACCCAAAAAATAAACTACCAAATTTTATCAAGTAACACCTGAAATATAAAAATAACACAAGGTAAGTGTTCACAGACACAGTTCAAAGCTATGGTGGTTTGAAGCTGAGTAGAGTTTTCAGAGAAAGAGCATGGCGACACCACTCTTGTTGCTCAAGGTGCATGGTGCCTCTTTAAAAGCTCGCTGCAAAACAAACACTGACTGCCAGTTTCTGACTGCCAGCTTTTTTCATAAAGGCAAAAATCCTCTTCAGGTTTCTTTCAGTTAACAAAAACAAGTACTAATGTAGGTCTTTTATAAAAGTGAAGTGGTATAAAGTGAATTTTCAAAAAACAGGGGATATCTGTATTTAAACACCATTCTGATGAGAGCACTGGTGACATTAACCAATGTGATTTTATATATATATATTCTGTAACAAAACATATTAATCTTTGGAAAATCCACATAACTCAGTGAGACAATATTTTCCAAATAATCTAGGTATAAGGTTATAAATCATGCATGCGTGGAAGATTCACTAAAAGCACAAGACAGACAAACGGGTTTTAACCTAAGGAGTACTAAAACTTCATTGATAATGGTTTCAGACTCCACTTTGCAACTACAGTTTAAGAAACGAGATTTGGTATAGTATCAAAGAATATCCACTGTTACTGAAAAAGGATTATCACTTACATAAGGCTGGATTTGCTCCATACACTTCAATCAAAATAACATTACACAAGAAACTGAATGCACAAGCAGGTATTTGTCTTCCATTAGACTTGACATTTAAGAGATTTATAAAAATGTAAAGTAACAGCACTCTTCTCACTGAACTTTTGTTTTGACAACTAGTTTTTAGTTTTTCTCCATAAAAAATGTCATTTATGCTAACATGTAGTAGCTTCATTAGTAGTTTTTTAAATAAATTAATATATAATTTAGTCCTCCTGTAGAATGAAGGAAAAGAAATTAAAGTATAAATTAGTGAGATCTGCTACTTCTGATCAATTTGAAAATTTTAAGATTAATATTACTGGTAAAATGAGGCCTGAGGAAAAGTGTTTGGCAGTTTCTCAAAACGCTACACACTGAATTACCACAAGAACCTGCAATTCCACTCCTAGGTATCTACCTAGAAGACTAAAGTCATCGCAGCATTATTCACCATAGCAAAAACTGGAAACAACCATGTGTCCATCAGCAGATCAATGGACAAATAATGGGATATAGCCCTTCCATGGAGTATTACTCCACCATAAAGAGAAATGAAGCTCTAACACATGCTATAATATGGATGAACCTTGAAAACATTACACTAAGTTGGACATAAAAGAACAAATACTATATGCTTGCATTTATGTGATGATCTAGAACAGGGAAATTAATAGAGATAAAATTTAATCAGTGTTACCAGGGGTTGGTGGAAGAGGACAATGGGGACGACTTCCTTCTTAGAGGGTACTAAGTTTCTATTGGGGTGGTTGAAAAACTTTTAGAAAAAGATAGTGATTATGGTTGTACAACATGGTAAGCATAATTAGTGTCACTGAATTATATACTTAAAAATGAATTAAATGGAAAATTTGTTATATATATTTTACTACATTAATACTGTATTTTTTTAAAAAATGAACTCTGACTTTACTATTTAGGCTCCCAGTTTCAAGAATATTTCATTGCTTTTTCAAAGATTAAAGATATTGAATGAAATAATGAAAGCTATCAAAATATTACATCCAATATTTAAAAATTTAATTCCATAATCTTTAATGTCTTAAGAGTTTTTCTAGGCCAATGAGCAATGAGACAAGCATTCATCAATAAGCATAAAAACTTCTGGTAGACACGGATGCTATCTAATATCACAATAAATAAATACCAATAAATAAACAAAAGCACCTGAATGACCCAAAGTCCTTTAACTAATGTTTGGAATGAAGTGCCAGATCAATTCCCAACTACTTGAATTAAAACGTTGTTCTCTCCAAAATTTACTTGGGATCTAGCTAGGCCACATTAAAATGTTTCTTTCTTTGTCCTTGGGCCTCACTTTTCAATTTTTATCAAGCTACAAATCTGTGCGTAACTTTGCTATTAATCCTCTAATATGTGTGCTGCTAAGCAGAACCGCCAATCATCAATATGTGATTAGAAGCTTAAGCAGTGAGAACAATCGCGCGTGGGAGAACAATTCAAGAAACTCTCTTCGAGGCCTGTCTGAGAATGAAAGAATAATGAGTGTCTAGAATATAAACGCCATGACAGGAAAAATTTCTATACATTTTGTTCACGCTCCCTTCCTAGTGCCCTGAACAACTCCTGGCACTTAACAGGTATGCAGTAAGTATCAGCTGAATGAATTAATCAACTTACAACTTTCATTAATATTATTTACTTGAAGCCCAAAACTAAGTTCACACATTCAATATATTTAAATTATACAATTACAACCAAATCATATTTGTCATTTTGGAATTTTTCATTACCCATAAGAAAAATTTAAAGTAGAACATTAATGTACTACAACAAAGTATAAATTTTCACTATCTGTAAATTTGATCACCTGTATCACTCTACTTCTGCTTTCTGTCAAACATATGCAATGAAAAAGATATATAAAAAGGAGATTTACTGACAGATAAACCAAAACCAAACTAAAACAAATCAAATAGTACCTTCAACCCATTAAGGCCACCAGAAACTTCCATAGCTGCCTAACAGAAAATTCCCATGTGAGGGATGCTGGGAAGAACTACCAATTTCCCTGATCCAGTGCTTTAAGTTCTCCAAATGGTAAGCATTTCTCAGTTCATAAGCAAGTTAAACAAACATGACTGGATTAGTTTATCAGTAAGGTAGTCAGTATGAGAAAAAAAGACGATACACAAAGTTCACAGGACTATAAAATTGCATGCAACTGAAATCTCAGATGGATTAGATCACTGGCAAACAAGACTTCTATCTTGTTACTTTACATGGTATTTACTCATAATATACATTGATAATTCTTTAATAAATGTATAGTTTTATTACTGATGGTCCTCAAAGTCCTAGGGAAAATGTAAGAAAACTCAATGCCTTTTCTTTACTATGAAGGTCCAAACTTTGATTTCATTGCTAAACTGTGTTCCTGTGCCTAAAAATTCGCACCAATACCTTGATCAATATAATTACACACCACAGAAGTTTAAGTCCTTTGCTTAACCTCTTTACACATAAGCTACTAAGCCAAGAGCAATTCAGATACATTCCAGACAACAAATACAAAGTCAGTGATTAGAAGCTCTTGATGTTGTATTATAAGAACGACCTAAAACAGCCAAGTAGCTGTTAGAAGAAGGAAAGGGAACACTTACTTCTTGATACAGTTGGTCATGAGAAGATGGACATCCTGCCTTTCGTCTAACAGTAGCATTGCCCCTAAATAGCCAATACGTTTGTCTGTGAATTTCTGAGAGGCAATAAGCTTGAGGCACTCCAACTGCAAATACAAATAAATAAACAAATTAAAAAAATCTGCTACCACAACCTAGAGAAGCAGTATTTTAAACCCAGAATCCAGAGATGATTAAAGGAAATGTACATAAACATGTATTATCAAACTACCTAATTAAAAGACAAAAATGTAAGACTTTTGGATATTTAGATATTGCTATTCAATTTCTAGACTAGAACATATAATCAAAGTCCTGTGGTTATATGTCATCCAAATATTCTGTGAATTTTACTTAAGTTCTACAGACTCATACAAACACAAACTAGTAAAGTACTATCATAAGCCACTAATAAGTCAAATTCCTAATTTCATGCCCAGGTTACATTAAATGAACACCTAACTCACATATGTATTAAGGACTGGTTCCTATGTCAAATATCAAAAACTCAGTAACAACTATAATAATTGGAAATACATCAAAGTGCCAAATACTGTCCTAAACACTAGGAATGTACAGTTGAAAAAAAGACAGGCAACTAAATAATGAATTTTAATATAATGTGGGAAATGTTAGTAATTTAGGACTGAGCCAATTACTGTGGGAAAGGAGTTAGGAATCAAATGTTGTTGTTGTTATTTGCCGTCGAGTCGGCCCCAACTCATAGTGACCCCTCCTTGGGTTTCCGAGGCAGTATCACTACAGAAGTAGGATTGCCCAACCTTCCTTCCGAGGAGTGGCTGGTG